AAAAGGTTCCTTTTAATTGTTTGTTTGATGGCATTTCAGGTTGCAAATCAAGAATAGCAACCATTCCATATACTTTATTCGGGTTGCCAAATAAAGTTTCCTTTAATCTTTTATGCTAAGGAAGAAAGGTATGGAATCAAGGGTTTTAATTTTAAAACATGGTGATGCCTGTGTTTGGTTTTGTGCAAATGTTTTAGACTTCATATTTATATTGAAAAATAAATTATAAAAATCAGTATTTTAGCAAGGAAAGCTGTTATTAGAAGCTAATATTTTTGCTGATTTTTTTGATTTATGGTAAATAAGGCATGTGGAACCTGGATGATGATATGGCTACCAAGTAGGATTATCCCACCACTTGGCAGCCATATCATCATCTAGGTCCTACATACCTTATTTACCATATATCATTTTTAGTGTCATGTGAACAATAAGGCATGGCATTGTTAAGGTGGAAAAGCTGTAGAAATAAGATAATAAAGCATACTGTTGCTGATCATTAGGCTGTTAATTTAATTCTTAAGAACAAGGGAAAAAAGTTTAAATCAAGAAATAGATTGTTGTAGCTTTAATTGTTGTTTGATTTTGTAAGTAAGAAGCATGGAAAGGTATGTTTGTTCTATTACTGATGTCTTTTACTCCTTTTAAAAGATTTAAATGTAATTTTTCTATATTAACTCAATTAAAAGAAGAGAAAGTAAACCAAAGTAGGATGATGTCCACAAAAAAATAGAAAAAAAAAAAAGGAACAACAAGAGAATAGGAGATAAAGTAGGATGGTTTGCCTGAGAACGAAAAAGGGAAATTTGTTAAGATTTCGGAGGTAAGAAGGGGGTTTGAGAGAGGACTTAGAGGAGAAGGAGAGACATCTGTGGAGTAACCTCACTTCGTGAGGTCAAACCCGTTTTCTTCATTCATCTTCTACTATTATATAGTAGAAATATTTTAATACATTAACAGTAATTTTCTCACTTAATATTTATCTAATACAAAACAAATCTAACATTTAAAGCAAGATTATATTAAAAAGATTTGCTGTCATTTTGTGCAGCTCCATGTGGCTGTACTTACTACTACTTTGCAGCTTTTCATTTGCATTTCATTACAACCTCATTTCATCAACATTTGCAGCTTAGCTTGCTGCACTTTGTTGCTACCGTGCTTTGGTGTAACTCTCCCTTCTTCATTTGCTGCCATTTTGTGCAGCCTTTCATTTTCATTTGTTGCTACTTTTGCAGCTTGAACATCACAACTCCAACAAAATTTATTGGTTTCAAGAATTGTAACTGATAGGATAAGAGATTAGACACTGAAATTTGGATTGAGTGGATTAAAGAAAAAGAGAATTTTACCTCTCATTTTGTATTATGTTATGTATGTTGATTATTGAGAACTGATTTGGGGGCTGAAAGTTGGACGCTTAAATTTTTTTGGCCATTGATCATGTGTGGGCCCCACATGATAAATCGCCAAGGTAATTTATGCCTACAATTCGGCTTCCAACTTTCGGCCCTCAAATAATTTTTCATGTATATTTGTTAGATTGAAATCTCATGTGAAAACAGAAAAAAAAAAAGAAAAAGAAAAAAAGAAAAAAAAGGGAGTTTGTGAAAAAGATATATTATGTATATAGTAATACACTGCTTATACTTGGGAGAATTTTCTTGGCGATGAATTCAAATGAATGAGATAAGAATGGTGATGGAAAACCAAATAATTGAAATTTCATAAATGGTAACTAAGATCTAGCAAGTTTTCTCTTTTTATGGCAAGACACTTTATTTGGCAAGAAAATCTCTAATTACCTAACTTTGGTAATGACAAGAAATTCACTGCTTGGATTTGTTTTATTGACTTGCCATAAAAGTTTAACCTGGTTACCTGGAATGGAAAGTAATCTCCAATTCCTAGCAAATTCAATGCTATGCCTTATTCTACTCTCGTTTTTAGAAACTCTACTTAATATAGTAGAAATTCCCTGTTGGCAAAAAAAAATATTGCATAAAAGGTAACCTAGTCAGCTCTTAAACATAGTGGCGATATATAATGTACCTATAGATTATGATAGGTAGTACATCCCCTAGGAACCATGTTGGAGATCTCAAGTTTGAATCGTGAAGTGGGTGGGGAGGATTTGAGAAAGGGAGCATTATTCCTATTGTATAACCTATCATGGTTATTAAATCAATTTTCTCTAGCTGAGGAACTATTCAACAAACTCTTCTTGAGAATGAACTATTTGAGAAACTACTTAAGGGACTCTTCTAAAGAAATTTACTTAATGAACTTTTCTTAACAAAAACCTGCTAACAAACTCTCTCGAAAGATTAACTACTTTGCTAAACTTTTCATAATGGAAAACTACTTAACGATCAACAAATTCCTCTAAATGAAAATCTACTAATTAATCTTTCTTAATGAAAAACTACAACCGTAAATGGATATCAAAAAACTAACCTTCTCTTTCCACAATCTTATTCCAAATCCTAAGATTCAATGACCCCCATCCCATTTTAAACATTTTTCTTGTAAATAAACAATATGATTTCTAACTAAAACAGGGTGTTCCTTAAATCAACTCAAACTTCACTGAAATTTAATCAAATTGAAATGAACTTTGAAGCCCTCTTTTGCCTATAATGAACAAAAGAAGATAGGCAAAAAAAGGGAGAGATGTTTCCATCTAAGGAAGAAGAAAGAAAGCCAAGTGCACTCCATACAGCTCATTTCTCTCATGCATCCCTTATTAACATCTCCGCCAAGCACACAAACACACACCATCCTCCCTCCCTATAAGTTCACCCACCCATTTGGCTCCTCTCCATCTCAAACTCTTGCACCTTGCAAACAACACTGCCTTTGGCTCTTCTTGCTAGGTCCAGAATAATCTTTAACAGAAGCCTTCAAGCTTCTCCCTTATTCTAGTCTCTTCTTCTTCCAAGAGTGAAAAGGTTAAAATTTCAAAGAGGCCAATTGGTGATGATGGGGTGAGTTCTTTTTGAATCTGTAAAAAAGTTACATTTCAAATGATCCAAAAAGCAACACAAGCTCATGCCTTTTCTGATCTCTAACCATCATGAGCCATGCCTAATTGTTTTCCATCTTTGTGTTTGTCCTTTTGCTTTTAGCATTTCTTTCAATGCATGATCTGTGATACTGAGGGGCTGTTGCTCTGTTGCAACAACTGCCCAGCAACCTATCACTTAAACTGCCTTTCTTCACCTCTTGAGGTATAGGCTTTAAGAACTGATATTCTCGTATTTGTTTCTGATTGTTAGAGAACCTGATACTATTTTTATTTATACTTGCAGAAAGCTCCCGAAGGGGATTGGCAATGCCCCAACTGCAGCAACAAGGAATCAGGAGATTCACCAGATGAACCTGCAGATCCAAACACAAGATCACTTGCTATGGATGTATGGTTTCGATTCAGTGCTCTTTCAACTCTAACCATTCAAGTACTTCTTCTCTAGGTTATATAATCTGATATTCAAAGATTATAACCTAATAACTTAATATGAACTGCAGGTAGGCTTAAGTAATTTCAAAGCTTTAAATGGTATTCAAGGACTAAACCAACCCTCATGTCTTTAGATTTTTGTCTGTACCCATTTTTACAAATATTCTACAATGCAGGTTAATGAAGTAGAAGATTTGAGAGAAAACATTACACTGTCTAATAATAATGTTTCTCTCATTGAACCAGAGGTAAATAGCTCTTTAAACCGCTGTTTCCTGAAAGTAATTATTAGTAATCTGTTTTTTGGTCTTGATAAGGAGACAATTCTATTCTATCTATTTTAGAATGTGGAATCTGGTGAAAGAAAAAATTAAGGTTTATAAGAGACGCCGAAGGAAAAAGGCTGCAGAGGAAAGTGGAAAAGGTTCTCAAGGTTCTGAAAAAGGACCTGACAAACTTCTCACATAGAGGTAATTGTTTCCTTGTGTTACTATTGGTATTCCTAGTGAGTTCTATACTTCTTTTTGTATCAGTGAGTATTTAATATTATAATAGTGTAGAGAAGCCAAGGTAGAAATCAAATAGTTTAGGCATCCAAAGCTTAAGGCAGTGATTATTTGTTGAAGCATTGGTTCTTACTTAACATAAGATGTACTCTGACAGGAAAAGAATAATAATGGAAAACTGCAGAAAACTTTCGTGGGATGTGTTCTCTGATACTAGTGGTCATTGAAGTTTGCTTGTGTTTTTGGTAATTTGCAGGGAAGGTTCGGAGCAATCAGTGGAAGCTTGTAATGCCCTTATGCAGGCAAGCAAGGCCTGATGCTTCTGGTTTTTTTAATTACAGTAGATCAAATAATACTCCATGCTGATGCCTGTATCTCTCTGTGTATCAAAGCAGAATGGTGGTGACAAAGAGGCAAATACATTGCCAGAAGCAGCCTTACAGCACACACAAACAGGAAAAGATCAGAAAGAGAACTTTTAAGCTTCACTTCAATTGTGTAATTGTGTTAAGTTGCAATTTCTAACAGTGTTTTATCCACAAATTCATGTTAATAAATATGAGCATTTCCCTTGAATAGTGCTCAGCTTCCAGTGCACAGAACTCAGCTCCAAGCTTTACACTAGATAGAACTTGTGGTGGTGCCTGGTCAGAGGAGGAGCTTGATAGTCTTTGGAGGGGTGTCTAGCGACATGGGTAGCATGAGTAGGAAGTGATGCTTGGAGATCCCCTACTGAGATTCTCAGATCATAAGGCCGCAAAGGACTTGGCAGAGAGGTGGAGAAAGGAGAGGCTCAACCTCATGAATTGTCAAGATACTCTGGTACACTCTGCACCCCTGTATCTTTTCAATTTAGGGCTTCAGCAACTGCTCAATTGTGTCAGAATGTTGTTGTTGTGGGCTCAGGACCAGTGGCTCGAGTAGGAAATTGTCAGGGAGAAACTACACCAAGGCATCATGAAAGCAGCTATTGGTTTCCAGTGCCATTACAACCAGTGCCATTGCGAGTGGTACCTTTGCAAGTCACAGCTACCCTTGATCAAGAAAGAAGACCAGAGCAAAATCCTTTTTTGGGTGGGATATTCAAACTTTCCCAAGATAACATCAGAATCTTGGAAACTCAAACAGACCCCACCCAGAGGGAGAGGGACGAAGAGATATCGTTTTCTTCCGAGGGAACTATCTTTGATTGATTGAGGATATTCCCTTACTTGTTCTTATTGTTCTTCTTCTTCTTCTTCCTCATCTTCTGCAAGTGATTGGTCCTACTAGTAGAAGGTCTAGAAAAGATATTTTAACGAATGGATTGTGTACGGTAGATTTTCGTAAGGATCCAAACAAAATGCTTTGTTTTCTTTGCCCTTTTCCTTTTCACATCTCCTAATCCAACAATCAAAGTATGCACAGGCAGATGATTCTACGATAAAGAGGTATTTGATGTGACCCCTTATCTTTAAAAGTAAACAAGCTAGCACCTTTTCTGATCAACCTTCATGCCAAAATGTTTTCCACTTTTGCTCCACTGTGAGGCATGGCCGGTAACCTATCACTTGTTCTGTCTTTCTCCACCTCTTGAGGGATACACTTTAAGCACTTATCTTGACAGTCTGAAAGGGAGTGGGTATGCCCCAACTGCAACAATAAGGAATCTGAAGATTCACCAAATGAACCTGCAGTTCCAAACGCAACATCACCTGTCATACATGTTATAAAGATTATTAGCTAATAACCTAATATGAGTACGGTGGATAGGCTTAAGTAATTTCAAAGATTTAAATGGTATTTAACGACTGAACCAACCCCAATGGTTTTTCGTTGCTGGCAGCTCCCTGTGGAAAAAAATAAAAAAACAGTTAAATGTGAGTTTTTAAATCCTTCAAATGCGTCATGATTATGCACTAAAATAGGTATCGTAAGTGTAGAATAGCTCACCTTTAAATAGTTTTGGTAAATCACTAATCCGATAATACAAAGATCCATTCCGGACCTTTTTCTTCCTTTTCTTCCTTTGCTCATCTTGTTCCTCCACTTCTTTCTTCTTCACTATCATACTCACAATGGGTTGATGCCTTAATGGTTTTGAAAACAAGTTATTTTGTGCATATGATGAATCACCCTTGAGTATTTATAGGGAAACTACAGTATTTCTCTTTAGAAAAAACATAATATTATGAAAAAAAAAGGAGGAAATCTAGCTTTTGACAAACTCAGCAAATGGTTGGAATATCTTGGAAGAAAAGGATATGCTGTGCCTCAATATTTTGGAAATGAATCCGATACGTATCTGAATGTATTTAGTAACAAATGAAATGGTTTTTTTTTAATAGACAAGCTGTCCACAAATCAATTTTTTTTAAACTCTAAATTAATTTTTTTTCAAACAATCTTTAAGAGCATTAAAGAATAATGTTTTCAATAAAATTAAGTTTTTCTAATAATGAAATGATAACTATAAACAAATTAAAGTTTAAAAAAAAAAAGTAAAAAAGAAAGTTTTAATCTTCTTAACACGCGTGCTGAACTTGGATTTGTAAGGATATAAGCCCTCAATGAATGGTTTAGCCTCATGTTTGAAGATTGATCTTGAACTTTCATTCAAGCTCCGTCAACTTTTTTATGCAATTAACTGTACAAAGGTCTTGCTTCAAAATTGATGAGTAACACTGACATTTATCAACAACATATATATATATATATTTTTTTTGAAAAGCTATCAACAACATATATTAATTAAAATTATACTTATTTTATTTATTTTTAGAAATTTTAATTTAATTTTT